CTATTAACAGAATCTGCACAAGGAAGACATTTCTGTTAGTAGACCATTCTTTAATCTAGGAAAAGAGATGAGAAGAAGCACTAGCTGAAGCTGTACAAATTTAAACTAGTATTAATAATAAAGGTTTTAACCAGGAAGATCAGTAATCATTGGAGCGATACCATGGGATATAGTTTTTCAATTTTTTTTTCAGTTCATGATTTTTGAAATATTTTTCGTTAGTGTGTACCCTGCTTTTCATCAAACGTTGTTCTAGTGACAGTGTGCTTGCTTTTCTTTGTTACCTTTCCCAGATGTCCACAAACCTAAGGACATGAGTTCTTGTTGATAAAAGTCACTAAGTGCAGGGGAACCCTTTTCTGAAAAGTTTGCCTAATCAGATCAGATTTTTGGGTATAGAAATTATTGGGTAGTGTCCTATGGCATGTGATACACAGAAATACAAACACATTCTTTTAATGGCCTCCCCTCCTCAAATGCATTCATATTTGTGGGGGGAAGGAGGTTTCCTCTTTACTGACAAAGTGCTCCCTGCTATCGCTGTGGCAAAGCTTCTCCTCTCTGCTCCTTATTTCACGTCCCTCAGTCAAGAACTTTGTTTGCTTCTGATACTTGGAGGGTATTCTCCCTGCCCCCTCCATTTGCTTCTTTAAATCAAGTTTCATTTTGGGTCAGTTGTTATTTCTGGGTTTGACCAGGAATTTTTGCAGCTAGAAGGTCACTTCAAGATGAATCCTTAGTGTGTTTGAAAGAGATCAGCTGCAGGATGGCAGAACTACAGTTATTTTGTCTGTAAGTGGGCTGTCGGACCCTACAAACAAAACTCTTACCTTTTCTTTCCAAGGTACATAATAAAGCAGAGATGCAAATTTGGAAATGAAGTGTAAATTAGATTTGAATGAGCTCTAGAAGCACTTCATACTGCTGGGCAGGTGTTAGAATTTTGACTACCTCCACTGAAGTTTGCATAACATGGAAAGCACATTCCATTTACAGCTGGAGATTCAATTGGATCCCAGCTACTGGAATCTGATTTGGTTTTTTCCTTCCTACTACCCCTCCCCTTCTGAGGATCCAGGTACCAAACAGACTAACAACAGGTCCCTGGCCAAAGTGTACAAACTCTAGAATGGGCCCCCTTCCCTTATTTATCTTGTTTTTGTTGGAAATTACTGACCTAATTGGCTTTCCTTTCTTACCGATAAGTAAACCTGTACACTTTGTACCTCTGTTTATAACGCTTTACACTGAAAGGCAGGTACATTTTAATTGCTGAGATAAACTGCTGTCAAGGTTTATCTGCTGTGACTCAGCGAGTACACTGGGTACCTTTGCTACTAGGGCAGTGCAAGGAATAGATTTTTAGAAGTAGATAAGCAAAGAAGTCTTTCCTGTCAGTGATCAAATGTATGTGGTTCCAGTTGTCAGAAAAATGAGTTAATGCTGGTGGAGTAAGTGGTGCCATTGCCACTTTAAAAAAACCCAAACAAACAAACACACAAAACCCCCAGTTTCTTCATAGATTGGAAGCAAAGAAAACAAACAGTTCTCCTCGAGCTTTTCTTAATATGTTTCTTCGAATTTGTACAAGTGAAGCTGTGTGGTCTCATATACAACCTTGCAATCAGGTTTGCATACACTCTGTGGACAGCATGTCTCACACAAATGCCTCTATAAAAAGATGAAATAACTGAGTGTAATTCCTATCTTTAATTTAATTTGGTTTTAGTGTTAAAACCTCCATGCTATATAAATTAATCTGATAAAAGACTAGTAAGTAATTTTTCTGTAAGTGTGCAAGAATGTCCGAAATTCTCTGTGCAGTTAATATCCAAACATTTGGTGATGCATAATAATCTCATTTACTGATTTTTTTGTTTTGTTTTGGTTTGGTTTTTGTTAGGTGCAGAAAGACCCGTGGGCTTTGTACAAGTTTAGTCTTGCATGCAGTTTCAAAATGCCATTCAGCTTCACACGTATTTCTTTACACAGCAGTTCTAACCTGGTGTTTTTTATTCTGTCAGTGCTTACCCCATGAACATCAAAAATATATGGAAAAAAATAATATGAACCCTAGATAGAGTGTTAGGTTACTCAGGAGAAGCTGTACCAGCTTTTCTCTTTGACTCTGCTAGTTCAATTTTCACTGGTAGATAATGAAACTTGGGTAATATGCTATTAAAACCGGATGTGCTTGGCTAAAAAGAAGTACTTTATAAATTTGTTTTGCTAGCCTGTAGGTGGAAAGCACAGTTGAGATCACACTTCTCAAAATATCAGTTGATTGCTGTACGATACCTGTTTGTCTGTTTTCTGATTGGATAGAACTGTTGCTGGGCTGATACTGTTTTGCCCAAAATTAGAAAGTCAATATAAACGAGTTAAACTAGACTGCCTGCTTTTTTCAGTTCTCTCTTCTGATTCATCAGTTGTTTGTTTCAAATTCTTACAGCCTTTGTGAATTGGGGGTTGTGCCAGCAAAGGTGAAAGCTCTTAGTGGTTAGTCAGTAAGAATGTTCATAAAAATTTGTCTTGGTGACATTTAGATGCTAGCAAAAATATGATGCCTGGTTAAAAAAAAAAAAGTGGAAGTGGGTCCTACCAGAGTGATCATATTAAATACCTGAATGCAAGAACCTATTCCTCACTTAGGAGACTGCCTGCTTCTTCTATGCAGGGATAGCATTCATCTTCTTGACTCTGAGAGGTTGTTAGTGTCTTGTGGCAGAGGCTTAAGACCTGAAACTTATTCATGAAGGCATGTATGAAAGAAGGACTCACTGATTACACATCTCTCTTCCTTTAGCATTAGTACGTATGCTTTAACAAGTTGGGCTGGGCCTGGTAAACTACGTTATTAATACCATGGAGGATTAGAATATCTGTGAATAGAACTATTATATTTGAAGAAAAACACCATGTAAACTGTTCAGCGTTATCTTTGGTTAGTGCATGTACAGCAGCAGTTTAGTAGCTAAGGGTAGATGGCTGTGCTGTACTCGCAAAAATGCTGTTACTTTAACTGTACTGTTAAAGCTATGGACTTTTCTTTTTGGACATCAGTAGTATTTGATGCAGGTGACAAGGAAATGTTGTATTGATTTTATACTTGGGTTAGTTCAGACTTTCAGAATTTTTTTGTTGTTCCTTCTTCCATACAGATGGGTAAGAAAAAGATGAGGGTGTTGAATGCCGTAAGATCTACTAATCGTGCCCAAAAATGGCTATATCTCAGTATGTCCTAAATGAAGCAACAAGAGGTCTAATTGTATATCCTTCTGAAGAGCAGGGAGAGAAAGTGCTTTAAGAAAGCAACTTGGTTAAATCTCAATCTCAAGATACCATGTAAAAATAGAAAGTATGTCTCATTTAGCAGTGGTAAAAATAAAAGGGCAGCAAGAACACGTAAAATTAAAATCAGAAAAAAACAAGGCATAAAATTTGATGCGACTAGAAAGGGACATTAAAAACAAAAGCACCAATAAAACTTCCTGTGAGTACATTAATAGTGAGAAGTCAATAAGGAAATAATTGCTAAAGTGTTCAGAAGATGATGAAAATTATTGACAGATGCCACTGTGAGTAGTTAAGTGTGGAATGTCTTTTTTTTTTTTTTTTTTGCTTCTTTTTCTGAAAGGCTTAAGTATGTTTAAATGTTTAATCTCCACTCCAGCCTGAGTTCTTTCATCACTAAAAAAATGAACTGGAGAATATTTAAGTGTCTTCTAGCTAGGCCTGATGAAATTTACCCTTTGGTGGTTACAAAAGGACAGAAAGGTGTAATATTTCTGGGCTTCTTGACAAGTTACGTAGGATTGCAAGGTAAAAGGAACAGGAGGAAGAATTGGGGAATCACAGACTTGTCAATTTAGATTCCATTTCTGGTGAAAATCTGGAACAAATAATTCAGCTGTCTGTAAACAATTGGATTTAGCAAGGAACTGAGTAAGAGCTGAGATGGATTTAACAGTAACAAATCAAGAGGAAGTAGTTTAACCTCTACAATAGGTAACAGGCCTGGAGAAGTAGGGAAATTCGTGGGCTTTGACCCCAGCCAGCAACTGAGCACCACGCAGTCGCTCACTCACTCCCCATCAGAGGGGTGGGGGAGAGAATCAGAAGAGTAGCAGTGAGAAAACTCGTGGATTGAGACAAAGACAGTTTAACAGGCAAAGCAAAAGCCACGCACACAAGCAAAGCAAACCAAGGAATTAATCTGCAGGTAGGTATTCAGCCATCTCCGGGAAAGCAGGGCTCTATCCCACATAACGGTTACTTGGGAAGACAAATGCCATCACTTCACACATCACTCCCTTCCTCCTTCTTCCCCCAGCTTTATATGCTAAGCATGATGCCATATGGTACGGGATATCCCTTTGGTCAGTTGGGGTCAGCTGTCCTGGCTTTGCCCCCTCCCAGCTGCTTGTGCACCCCCAGCCTGCTCACGGCTGGGTTGGGGTGAGAGGCATAAAAGGCGTTGACTCTGTGTAAGCACTGCTCAGCAGTAACGAAAACATCCCTGTGTTGTCAGCACTGTTTCCAGCACAAATCCAAAACAGAGCCCCACACCAGCTACTGTGAAGGAGATTAACTCTGTATCCCAGACAAAACCAGCGCACCATCACAACCAACATTTGCTTACTTGAAAGATTAGTAAGCTCTGGCCTGTATGATTATTCTAGTTATATAAAGTGCTGTTTTAAGATGTTTTAAGATTCCTGTGGCCTTGGTAAAAATAGATGGCCTATATTAAGTATATCCCATTAGTAATTACCCCAGTGCTATACTAGTTCTGACAGATGTTTTTACTTCTTCTGTAAACCATGTTATGCAAAACAGTAGCATAAAGAATTATTTCTGGTTGCTGTATTTGGCATTCCTTCAGTTATTTCGGACCTGCTATTAACTGAATTGTGAAGCAAATTAAGTAGTATCTTCTTTTTAAGCAGCTAAGAGCTTTTGATGTTTTATTGTAACATGGTTTATTTATTTTATTGCAGGATTTGGTTATCCGTATCATCTTCATTCTTGGTAATTTAACAGCAGAGAATAACCAGGCCCGTAAGCGATTTTTTAAAGAAAAAGGAAGTGTTAACACTTTGATATCATTATTCCAAACCTACTATGAACTTGATCTGAATGCACAGAAATGGTACCATGCAAGAGGAGAGGAAGGAAAAAACCACCCAAAGCATCCTTCGGAAGCAGAAGACGTGCTGATAAAACTGATAAGAGTGCTGGCCAATCTCTCCATTCATCCCAGCGTAGGAGCAGCTCTGGCAGCTGCCCATCGTGTTGTAGAATTACTTGTTACAGTACTAGGTAATAAAATCTGTGTTGTATGTGTTATCTTTGTTCAGTCTGTAAGGAGGGCTTAGAATTTTTCTACTTGATCTTCTTACCTTTAGGTATGGTTGAGCCATAACTAAACCATTTCCATTGCTAAATAACCAAGTCAATCTGCTGGTGTTCATGAACTGGTTTGTGTAGAAAGCCCGAAACAGTGGAAGCATTGCTGCTTTGGAACTGACTTTTTGATGTCTGGGGAAAGACATTGTTTAAGTGTTTCATTCAGTGGTAAGATTTGCCGATACAATTATCAAGGATAAGGAAACATTTTCTTTTAAAGGCATCTCACTGAGAGCTCGTGTATAAGGAAAACCTCTTCTTACCAGGTGCTGCATACGCGTTGTTTGTTGGTGGGTCTTTTTAGGGTTGCAGGTTTTGTGACTGTTCCGGATTAAGTGTTCTTTTTGTTCCCTGCACCTATAACTTTCAGCCTCCTTGAAAAATTTCCTCTTATTTTTTCATCTTTTTCAGATTTCCAGCCTTTATCTCTTTCAGATGGAAGGGAATGTCCCCTGCCCTCCAAACGGTGGCTTAGGACTGCACTGCCTTTACCACTTACTGACCCCTTTGTACATCTAGTTACAGGCTAGGACTGGGCAGTCTGCCCTCCCCATAACAGAGTTTAGCAGTGAGAAGACACATCGGAAAGAACTGTTAAATTTCTCATGGTACCTGACGTTTGAATGTTAATAGCCCTTGGTATTTCTTAGTGTCTGTCACACAGGCCTATTTCTGCATGTGGATTCTCCTCAGTCCCATCTTAAAACAGCAAATAGGATCTGTAAAATGTCTTAACTAACTAGATTTTGAACTGTATTGCCTGAGTCACAATGATGTCTGTAGATGAAGAGTTGGAAGGAGATGACGAGATGAAAGAGTGACTCTGTATTGCCATTTTTGGATCAGCTTCTGCCATTTTACTGAAAACCAGAATATTTGTCTGTAGAGTGGCCATTTTGCTTCTGATCTGTAATGTGCCGCTAGGTTAGACTCATGTGTCTGTGTGTATCTACATATGTGTTGGTTTTTTTTACTATCAGAATACAAGTCAGTCGATGACTGTGAGGAGTTGGTCATCAATACAGCAACAGCAATCAACAATTTATCCTACTACAAAGTGAAAAGTTCTGCAGTTCGAGACAAGAAGCTACACATTGCTGAAAGTAAGGGCTTTTGAATGAGTACTTTTTGTATTGCTTTTTGAAAGTGGAAGTTATTTGTGCTATATTTTGACTATATGTTTTGTGCTATATATATACAGATGCCGATAGTGTTTTGTGGTATCATATTGCAGGAATATGAACTTCACAGGGCTAAATTCTTCCCATAATGATTTATCGTTCTTTTGGAACGTAATTCTAGGACTTCTGTGAAAATAGTTAGGTTGTTGACAAAACCCCTTCTTCTCCCCAAAGGAATTTGTCATATTGTTTTCTGTTTAGCAATTTTTGCTAGACTTGTTCAAAATCCATATTTTGAACCGAAATTATCATGTTGCTTTTTGCTTTTAATCAGAGTGTGGTTAAGAGAGTTGGTTGTATTTTTAGTAGCTCCTAGACCTGCAAAATCTGATTTATGTCTCTTTCTGATTTATAAATCCATCGGCAGCATAGGAGTTGTGTGATTCTCTCCTCTCTGACAGTATGGACAATAGTTGTACTTCAGTGATGTGTAGGAACTGCATCTGAATTCTGGGGCTCATTGTGTTCAGGTTGTCAAAAAGGTAGAGAGTCTCTGTCTTGCATACCTTACTCTCTAAATAGACAGGATATGGAGGAGCGATGGAACCTGAAGTTTGCACAGCAGGTAGAATGAGGACTAGGAAAAAATACTGTGGCTGTCAACCTAGTGTCCTGACTGGTAATATTCTGTCTAGGTAACAGTTCTGCTGTTCTGTCATGAGTCATTTTATCACCCGTAAGCCAGCTGTCTCTTATTGGTAGTCAGAGAAATGTGGAAACAAATGACTTCTGTGCCTGTCCCATTTGCTTTCCCTCTCCTGTTTTTTATTGTTAGCGTGTGGAACCAATCCCATCAACTTTCCTCTGCCTGAACTATGGAGAGAGAAAACATTCTGATGGTAGACCAGCAGGTTTCCTCCTCCAGGAGACTTTTTGAGAATACTTGCTGTTTGAAACAAGTGCTGGATCCCAAAGACAAAAAATAAGCATTTCAGATGTCTCTTTAGAACAAGTTCAAGGCACGTTCAGTATTGCAGCATTGAAAAAGGGAAGTGAAGGGAATGAAGCCAACCTGTTTTCTGTATTTTTTCTCACTTTTTTGTGGTAGAAGGGTTACGGGTTCACTGATTTGAGTCATTTGTATGGTGAACTGATTTCAGTGGTTCACTTCACACTCACGCAAGACTGGTAAATGTAACTTCTGCAACAATGCTCCTCCATTGCTCATTGCACTGAACACCTACGTGATGGTAGGTGTTCCTAGCAAATGCTGCAGGTCTCATTCTGTCTAATGAAGTTACACGCTAATCATATGTGAAATTGCTAAGCAGGAAAGCAGCAAACAATAAATGCTTCAGAGCAGGGGCAGTAATAAGTAGCTGTTCAAAGAAAACGTGTTTGCTTCTTAGAGCAGCACTGAGAGAAAATAGAGCTGAAGTCAGAAAATTATTTGAGTTTTAGGAGACATCCCACCATAAGACCATCTGTTCAGGATCTAAATCAACTCTCTTACATATTACAATGTTGGTTTCTTCTTTGTCTTCCTTGATTTTCACATGAGCCCACTCAAAACTATAGCAAAACTGTCTCCCGTTATTACGACTGTGCTTAGGCCATCTTCATAACTCCTCATCTGTTCCTTTGTATTTAGCCCCATATTGGAGCTCTTTGTCTCATCTTCAAAGCCCTACACAATTTAGCTCTTGTTCTACCATCTGCTCACCCCCTTCGCTGCAACCAGACAGTTAGATAACTGCTCCCATTTATTACACTTACTGCTGTTGCTGCTTGCATGTGGATATTTATTGATAAAAAGCCAGGCACATGTTGGTGATACACAAGTAATTGTTTTTATTTCATTTCTCTGCAAACCAATAGTGCTTTTGAAGCTGTTAATGAGCAACAACATGGATGGAGTTGTGGAGGCTGTCAGAGTCTTTGGCAATCTTTCCCAGTATCATGAGATCTGTGACTTCATCATACAGAAAAAGAGTGAGTTACTTTTGCATTTGTAGGAGTCCTGTTTTTAAATGTCCATAGTTCTAAAAAGGGAAGACTCTTAATAAGCTGTCTCATTTAAAGGGTAGAAGCAATCTTCTCTGATGTTTTGGAAATTAGGCGAATGTTAAGATCCAATAGTAGTCATTATAAATACCATTTTATTTCAATTCCATTAAAATGGAAATATTGCAGTAGAAAAAATGTACCATGGTGTGTCTTCACAAAGGTAAATGCTACAAAAATTGTTTTTCCTAAAGAGTGTAATTCTGAAGTTTCCCTTCACTCCTTCAGTTTCTCAAGTTGGTAGTGATGTGACATAAAATGAAAATCCAACTTAATTCTCATTTAGGTTCATAGTCGCAAGTTTTGGATTCTCACGTTCAACAGCTTGTTAGCCCTTTGTAACATGCATTTAGGATGTTGCTGCCTCAACCAAGAGCCCTCCTATTTGCCTCTGGGTGAACTAGGATACAAGTCTTCTCAAGCCCTTTTGCATTGGGTGTCTAAAGAGCTTTGGGAGAAATGGCAACTCCTTGCTATGCACAGATGTGTCATAGGTTTAATTAAACATCAGTTCACTGTAATTTTTTTGTATCTACCTGTCAGTGCTCAGACTGAGGTGATTTGCCACAATATACAACCCCTTCTTTCAAGGGTGGACATACCACCACTTTTGGCGGAGCTGGTGTGTGCAGAGGGAGGACTGACACTTAGTAGCCGCTTGTTGATGAGCTGAATTAGGCAAAAGAACTGAATTTCCCTCTTTGGAGAGTGTGGTGCTGGTGCACAGAGCTCAGGAAGAGCTCATGGGCTGCCTCTCCATTAGGCAAGACTGAGTCCCTTGCTGGGGATGCCTCCCGAGTTCAGCGTCAGCAAGTGCTGTGAGATGCTGCACGTCCAGCGTCTGCCTCTTGCCTGTCTCTCCACAGCAGCCCCAGGCTGCAGCAGTCCCAGCTGGGTCTGGTGCAGTCTGCTGCGGCCCTGCCAATACTAGGGGAGAAGAACTTCCCTCTCTGAGTGCCAAATGCCAGGTCTTAGCAGTTTCTGTGTGATTGAAATGCGGGTGATACTTTTAAGAATTAAGTTGTAATTCAGTTTGGTGAACTTAACCTCTTCTGACTGGATTTCCAGGTTACTTTGGTGTGTCTTTATAACTAGAATTTAGTATGTCTTGCTTTGACGAAAGCCCGTCTTCAGCATGATGTAATAATGGCTGTTACTCGGCTCATATGCCTCTTCTACAAATGTCACAGTAACATGCTACAAGGTTAAATATTTGGGTAGTGTATCCTGCATTTGTCTGCTTTCTATGTATATATGTTTAGTAAGTGTGTTGGACTTACCATGCAGGTGGCATTACATCTTCCCAGTAATACTGCTTCCTTTACAATCCAGTATACAGGTTCATCATTGCTTTACTTGATGCCAAGAATCAAGATGTCTGTTTTTTGGCCTGTGGAGTTCTGCTCAATCTCACAGTAGATAAGAACAAACGAGCTCTTCTGATGGAAGAAGGAGGAATTGGAAAGTAAGTTTCCTGATGACGCTTACCAAAAAGTTCCAGTAGTTTGGCCCAAGGGTTTCAGTCAGATTCTTTTGTATTGGAGCCAATAACTTGTAATAAGGATACATACTAAACAGGTATTCAGCATCTCATGTTCTTCAAGAAAAAGCCCTTTGTATTCTTTCATATGTATTTTGCAAAAACGTTTAGAGTTACTGCAGGGCCAGGAACCACAGGATAACTTCCCAAAGGTCCTGCTGATACGCAGAGCTGAGGAGAGTGCCATGCAACAAGGCAGCTAAGGCATGGCTTTGCAGTAGCTGCTTGTGCCTGACGTAACTGTAGTCGTTGTCCCCCCCAGGATCCAGTTAACAGGCACTATGAACGTGTTTCTGTGGTAAGTGTGAAGATTGCTTCAAGAACTGTGATACCGTACACGGTCTCCGGCAATTTTTGTAACTACTTAGTCCTGCAGGGAGAACTATCTGATGTAGCTGTGCTGGGCAGAGAATAAATACCTCCTGAGACTCCTCTCTCCGAGAGTTCAAGTTTAAGGCACTTGTACTGTCAGTGGTATTAGAGCTTGAAAAACCACAGTGGATGCAACTCTTGTGGCTTTGATGTTCAGATAGTAGCGGATCCGGCTTAATTGGGGCAACATGAAAGATCATGTTCCTATGCTTGTAAAGCAGTTGATACAACCCACATTTATGAAACAATACGCCTAACGTTTAAATGCTTTCCTGTTCATACATTATGTAATTACTTTTTTATACCATGCAAACAATGCATAGTCTGCTCAGCCTTCTTTCCCATGTTCTAATTAACTTACAAAAAATAAAGTTGAGAAAGAAGAATGAAAATAAGTTACAGACAAATTGAATGCTATATGTGAGAAATTCCTATTACATAGAATTCTTGTTACATAGAATATATAATGTTTTGTAGAATACAGAATCATATAGAATACAGACTTTTCAATACTCTGTCTGAAAATTTGTGAAGGAGGAAGAAAAAATAGTAACAGTATGGAATAAATCTACAGAATTTGGAAGTAATTATTAAGGAGGTTATCCTGACTGTGCCAAACCAGCTCTGTGGATTTTTGGAAATTAGGTTTTTGTACCAGTATGTAGTGGTCCTAATAAAACATGGAATTAGTCTCATCAGGGAGTTAAACTTTAAAAAATTAGGGCAAGTTCTTTTGGCTTTTCATTAGATGCCTCCTGGTCTTCCACAATGATTGCCCTCAGAAGGGAGAGAAAAAGCAAACCCCTCTTTGGTTGCTTTTCAGTTACTGCTGTTTTCAGCCATACCTGAATGAATGTTACAGTTATCCTGTGTTACTAGTCGCCAGATTATAAATCTCACAGTGAAGAAGTGAAGGAAAGAGGGGTCACAGGGCTGGGGAAGAGAGCAGCAGGGAAGGATTACTGTTAGAGAGGTCACTAGGGACAGCAGGTGAAAAAAAATGTTTACTTCTGCTGCCCCGAGACTTGTGAATGCTGCTGTTTGGAACTCTAGATAGCTACTGTCTGTGGGCTGCTGCAGGCAGAAAACTTAGAGCTTGATTTCAGAGTTCTGCTTTTGACCTTGCCTGCTGTGGTATCTGCAAGGAAGTGAGATTAGAAGAAAGATCAAAAACCTCATGGTCCTTAATAAAACTATGTTTCTGAGTCTGTTGGGAGTGCAGGCTGAGGAAATATCTGAAGTGGTGAGATCTGCAAAATAGACCTCACTGAACGTAACAGGTAATTCTGTGAGTCATGGAAGCGACGAATTCCTTTGGATTTGTCTTCTGGTCGGATCCTCTGACGTGTAATCAGCTGGATGTTCTGACTGAAGCTTTTTCCGCATTCAAACCACCTTTTCCAGATGAGTTTTTAGTGCCTGATAAGGTTTGGCTCACATTGCAATCTCTGCTCTAGCAGTAGCCACAGATTTGGGACAGTCTCAGATTGTCATGAAATTTGTTGGATTTCTAGTGTCTTTGAAATGGTGACATTTGTGACATAGGTGATTGAAATGGGTCGCTTGGGTTGAAAATTTATAGGAGTGGGACAGATGCAGGCAGGCACACGCACATCTGTGTAGACGAGAGGCATGTTCACATCCTTAGACTAAATGAATGGGGGAGTTACTGAGGAATAAAAGTAGCGTCTTGTTGTTGTTAATGTAGACTTTTCCTGCAAACTTCCATGGAATCTGCATACATTTCTAGACTGCCTAGATTTTGAAGGGCGCAGAAAGAAACTACATGGAGCCAAACACTGTTTTTGTTTGATACCGGCAGGTTAGTTGACTGTTTACGAGACTTTGGGCCCTCTGACTGGCAGCTGGCTTGTTTGATATGCAAAACCCTTTGGAACTACAGCGAAAACATCACAAGTGCGGCCTCATGCTTTGGAGAAGACACCGACACGTTGCTGGTGCTGCTTACATCACTCTTGGGTGAGATTCCCAATTTTGGTCTCTTATCCTCAGTAAGAGAAATGGAAGGAGCAAAATCGAAGGGGGTGGGAAGTCTGTCGTGCAGCTTTAAGTGGTTGGCCGGGATGGACTGTCCAACAATACAGCAGTCTGTTGCCATTCAGCACGTTCCCTCAGATCTTAACAGGTTGCCGCGGTGGAGTTGGATGCTGTCACTCGCCACTCTGCTCTGTCTAGTTAGCATGCCACTAAGGCTTTTCAGCAGCTGCCTTTTTGCTTGCTTGAGCCAACTGTCCTGTAAACCTTCAGCACAAAACATACCTTTTGCTGGCTGTGGGCCCCTCTGGCCTTGAAGGTCATTGCAGGTACTGGCAGAAGCGAGCGCTCCGATGCTCTTGGTTACTGCACAGCACGCACTGGGCAGTCTGGGGAATGCGGCTTTAGCCCCTGGGCAGAAGGCTCTGTGGTACAACAGGCTGAGCTTGCTGCTTGGGTCAAGAGTCCCTTGGCCACCCTTCTTTTCTCATGACTATCTCCTTGTGAGCAAGGACAACACTGTCCTGACAATTTCTCATCTGCTCCCGAAAGCTTGGGAGGGTGTGCTCCTCCACAAATACAGGCTGGAAGGTGTCTACAAATGAATGTTAAGAGCCCAACTCGCTAACCCAGTTGGACCTTTTCATCTGCACATTTACGTTCACTGCAAATTTTACAGAGTTTAATTGCTGTGTAACAGTCCTCTAGTCACTCTATTTCATTTTCCTCCTTTAGTCTATGAGCACTGCTTTGGTTATGATTTTATTTTGGGTAGGTCATTTGCAATTATCTTATTCGAAAAAAATCTTTAAAATATAAATATACGTGAAGCAAATCATAACTGATTCTGATTGGGTTTTAATTGGAAATTTACTAAAGATGTCCTTGCTTTGGAGAAGACTGCGTATCAGTCAGCCCCAGGTAGAAAGTGAGATCTCTGTGGTCTCTTTGGTTTTTAGACAACGATAAAAGTGGGTGGGTGTGTGAGGATGTTTTTCCAGTTACAGCAGAAGTGCTGTTACTCATTGCTGGAATCATTCCTTAACGTTACATTCCTTGCTATGATAGCACCTATCTTAATGTAGGCATTAATTCCATCTATTTATCTGAAAATACGGGGTGTTTCAAGATCATTAGTGCTCTTTTTAACTTTCTGCAGCAGAACTGCAAACTTTACAGCCGCGATCATGCTTGAACTGGCAAGCAGCAAGGATTAGGTATCTTTTGGTTTCGGAAAATTCCGACTTATCTTTTCCTCTGCATTTCACTTTGCTTATTCCAGCAATTAATTTGGCTGCAGGGCCCAGGCTGGGCAGTAATTGGAACTCTCATTAACTATTACAGCTTTCATGAACTGGAAGTTCATGTGCAATTGCAACTGCAGTTACAGTTGCAATTGTAATGCAGCTGTAATGACAATTAATTAAAAATGGCGCAGAATTACATCAGAAGGCAGTCTTTCATCACACTGTAGTCAGAAGAGTAGCTGTAGAAAAAGTGCATCCTAGATACTGGATCTGGTCTCTCTGTGTGTTAAGAGCCAACAAACATTAGTAATAGCAGCTGGTTAATATTGTCCTACATCTTCCTCCTCCCATTGTGTCCAGTAACAGCCTTGAACCGTCATTGCTCTGATTCTATCATTCAGGAAGCAGGAGGCAACTGCTGACAGCGAGCGGCCTGTACTTAAGCATCAGCACACCCTCAGGAAGCGGAAAAAGTGGAGCATGGCACAGCAGACACCTCACTTCACCTGCTGTGCTTGGCCCCCTCCCCTTTATTTTTCTTTCCCCTACCTGGCACAAGATGACAGAGGATATGAGGGAGCCAAAAGGGAGTGGAAATAGCCTGAAAAGATGTTGGGCCCGAGAAAGGCTGGACAAAAGGCGCCATTTGTTTTTCTGTTTCCCTGCCCGATCCCAGCAGCCTGAGACGCAGCGGCACTGCTTCCCAATGGCACTGTCATTTGCCTGCCTTCAGCTGCTCTTGAGTCTCGCTTTACTTCGTTGGCTCAGAGCTCCTTGTCCCGGTCCCTCAGGAGCAGCAGTGGAGACGAGCCTTCTGTCTTGAGAATACTCTTCGGTTTGGTCATTCAGTGAAACCCCCTTTCTCCCTCTCTTTTTCCAGGCGCTTCTTCTGCTCCCCTTCACCTCCACTATCAGGTCAGGGAGGTTATTTTGGAATCTCAGTACATGTGAACTCTGACATGGCATGATATTAGTATCCTCCTAGCCAGGAGCTTCCAGGGCTCCTGGCCCCTGTCTTGTTGACCTTGCAGACTAGAGTCTGTGCTCTAGTTTTTGGCTTCCCCCACAGCATGGAGGCCCAGTGTGCTTGTCTTGTTCCTGGGCTTGCAGCCAGCTCGTGTGCTGTTTGGCCAGTACCCAATTTTGCTAGTTTTGAGGAGAGCCGTGGGAAAACTAAATTATCTGAGGATGCATAGCTTTCATGTGGGACACTGATCCTCACTGATCCCCAGCGTTACTCATTCTGCTTTGGGAAATTCACTGGTTTGGTTCAGCGCTTCAGCTTTTGAACTGCTTCTGACCCTTGTTCTTGTAGGCTGGAATTCCCAACTGCAGTGATTCCATAAACATGTGATTGGCTTCTGGGGGGCACAGCTGTCTGCTAAAAGGGAGAAGTGTCAGCAGACTCACTGATTTGGGTAGAAATTTGTTGATTTGGGTAGAACAATCATTTCAGGAGTAGGAAAAAGAATTCTGCCTGAAAACAAACCCCATAATCCCTTATTTTCCTCTTTGGGGTCTCTCACTTCTCGGCTGCCGAGATCCATTGTACATATGTTGGCCTACGTGCCATTGGTGGGACGAGAGCTAATGGGCACAAGTTGCAGTAAGAAAAATTCCACTTAATAGGTTCCCACCATGGCAGGGCTCAAGCGCTGGAATGGGCTGTGCAGGAAGGCTGTGGAATCGCTATCCTCGGAGATGTTCAGTACTCAACAGTAGATAGGCCAGAGCAACCTGATCTACAGTGGCTTTGCTCCGGAGGCCCTGTCTAACCTGAATGATCCTGTGATACCATCAAGTATAGATCTGAGGTCTGAGGCTGGATTTAGCTCTGACTACAGGGTTTCTTCCTTTCTCTGCAGAGATGTGACGTGTCTTCCTTCTGGAAAGAATGTTTTTCTCTTTAGTTTATTACCGAAAGCCTCTAAATATCATCTTCTCCTTATGCAGAGCCCCTTTCCAAATCTACCTCACCATCAGCGTCTCTTTAATTTGGTAATTTAGAAACACCGTAGTGACACGGAAGTGAAGGATTGTTGGCAGTGACTGGTAACTTCCTGTGCAGTGGAGCCCGTCTCCGTGCAGGAGTTGTGTCGTCTCTTCCTTCACGGCGGCTGCAGTTGGGGCCATATACACTGTAATGCATATTGGCATCCCTTTAAATGGGAATAGTTGCTGTATCAGCATGTCTTTACTACACAAAATCTGACTCAAAATGTGGGTAACTGAAGTTTCTCTTCAGCTCCAAGTTGTCTTTTACCTACTGTGAATGCGCAGTGAGCTCCCTTCTGGAGTTACTGTTCAACAGGTTGTGAATCTGGTGCTCTTAGTCTGGGACGAAGATAAGTCACACTGCTCATTGGGTGCAGGACTCCATCTTCACTTTAGGTCCATTTATGGCCTAAAGGCTGTCAAATATCATCCTCTTAAACTCTATGAAAAAAGTTCAGTGTTATCTGTTGTGTTTGTGGATTCCTGATCCAGGAGTACGCTCCTGGTTGCTGACTGATTCCTTTTTTCCTGTAAGGGTTTGCTGCTTTCCCACATCCAATGCCAGGCAAGACGGATGGGGGATAATAAAGGGAGAGTCGCTTTCATTCCTAACAGTGCTTGTCTCTGTTCCAGAGTGTCCCCTCGTTGCGAGGAAGGGAGTAACATGGTTTAAACCAAAGCATGGTTTGTGTTCGTTCGGTCTGACAGTAGGTGCAGTTGGAAAGAGCCTTCGTGAACCAGACTGGCCAAGCAGTTTGTGACAGGAACGAGACGGCTGTAGTTGGAGGCGTATGATTACTTAGGTTAGCAAACCTGCTGTGGGTAACTTTAAAGCCCAGGGAGTTTCCAGGTTGACGGTCGCAGTAAATGCTTGATCTCCGAGACCCAGTGTAGCTACGAGGTGTAAGAATAACGGAGCCTGCAGTGCCCTTCTCACTGTGTTACTCAGTGGCGCTTGGTTAGACATGGAGTTGTTCTTAAGCCATCAGCATACGCAACTGATAAGTGGTATGTGCTGTGCTCAGAAAAGAGACGGTTGGGTGTATTTTTATTCAGAACTGATGATGGTATTTTCCTTGATTACAGATGAAGAACAAACATTGGATCGCAGCCTCGACAGAGACTTAAGGGACCACCACAAACTGTATTGGGAAAGAGAGTTCAGACCTGTGGCAGAAAAACTTCTTGACAGAGTTCAAAGCCATCACTTCCCACTGTGACTATTGCTCCTCTTTAATCAGTCTTTTTGTGTGTGTGTGTGATGTAGATTGTACAGCTTTGTATTTCTAATATCCCTGTATGTTGCTGTTCATAAGCATGTTGGAGAGCATGGCAGTTTCATTTTAACGTCAGTAAAGCCTAGCATTTCTATTTACTGGGTCCTGTCTTTCGAGAAGCTTTTATGGATTTTTTGCATGTGTAATTACTTTTTACACTTTATTTCAGCTGATCAAGCAGCTGTGCAGTGCGATTAATCACAGAGTTTCTTGGCTGGGAAAATGAAGCAGAACTATTTGCTGAACTTGTCATTTTTAAAAGGTAAAATACCGCTGAGTGCCCAGACCTCTGTGGTCCCAAAAATGCTGTGTGCTGGAAAAGAATGTTACGTGACAGGAGCTGCATCTGCCCAACAGACTTTGACACACATCTGCTGTATATAATATCCTGCGACAGAGCAACCCACGTGCTGTTGGGGGATTTTGCTGTGTGATACAATCACAGAACGGTTTGGG